ACATACATACATACATACATACATACATACATACATACATACATACATACATACATACATACATACATACATACATACATACATACATACATATATATATATATATATATATATATTGGCAGTACAAATTAGTTCGATCCGTTCAAAAGCATTTCAAAATGAATGAATAGATCAATTAAAGTATTGTCCATCGCTGCCTATTACTTTTTCTCATCTCTCAGGCAATTTTCAAATTCCATCTCGAAAAAATGACTCGTCTTTGGAGGCGATCCAATTTTGGAGCCAATTTTCGATTTCTGTGAAAGAAGTGAATCGGTGACTTGCTACATCCTTCGGAACAATCAGTAATCAGAAGGAGCAATATCCGGAGAATACGGCGGGTGCGGTAAAACATTCTATTTGAGCGTTTTCAAATATTTTTTTACGACTTTAGCGACATGAGATCGAGCGTTGTCATGAAGAATAACTTTATCATGTCTTTGCTCGTATTCTGGCCGTTTTTCTTGCAATGCACGGCTCAAACGAATTGTAGCCGATACCGATCGCTCGTAATGGAATCGCCAGATTTCAGCAGCTCATAGTAAACAAGACCCTTTTGGTCCCATCAGATACAGAGCATGGTCTTCGAACCATGAATGTTCGGCCGTGGTGTTGATGTTGAGATCGATGGCAACGATTGACCGGGCTTAGCGTAGTATTTTTTCTTCTTGATTGTCGTAGAATATCCACTTCTCATCTCCAGTCACAATCCGAAATGCAAAAAAAACTTTTGTCTTTGAATCAGCTGTTCACAAGTGAAAAATCGCCTTTCAACGCCTTTCTCTCGGTTTCAGTTCGTAAGACACCCAATTTCCTTGTTTTTGAATCATTCCCATGGCTCTCAATCGTACAGAAACGGCTTGTTGAGTTACCCCCAATGATTCTGCAAGCTCCTCTTGCGTTTGATTCTGATCTTCTTCGAGTAATTCTTTGTCTTCGAATTTTTTTGGCTGTCCAGAGCTAGGCTTATCTTCAACGCTGAAATCTCTATCCTTGAAACGTCGAAACCATGATCCCCTACATGATTTATCAGTTGGAACAGTACCATAAACTTCGCAGTCATTATAAACTTCGGTAAGCATTCGAGGCTTCAGCCGCACTTTTCTTCCAATTAAAGTAGAAAATCAAAACCTCCCGCAAATGCTGCTTGGTTAACACAAAATTCGATATTTCAAACACAGTAAAAATCAGTTTTTGTATGAAACTCAAAGCGATATAAACTGATTTATTAGCAGATGTTTAGTCTCTCTGAAACTGTGAAAATCAGCTGTCACTATGAATCATTCACAACAGCTGGCGTCATCTTTAGGGAAACGGATCTAATTTGTACTCCCAATATATATATATAAATGATAATAAATTATAATAAGTTAATAGATAAATAAATAATAAATATAAACAATTACAGATATGGATTAGCGTATATTCTTATTAAAAGTAGAAAAAAAGTAGAAGATTACGGAATAAGTACCATTAAGTTCTGGGTCAACCTTCATGAATTGCTCTTCGGTGACGGGCACTTTTCCGATTAAACAACTTTTGTAAAGGCCAAAATTTGACTCAGAATCATCCAAAGGCACCACTCGTTCATCACAAAAAAAGAAGCGCCATTTGCTCCAGTCGGTTGCAATGTTAGGCAGAGACTTGGCCAGCAATTGTACTACCGAACCGCCTATACACAAATCAATAACAAATTAAAAATAATTTTCTTGATTTTTTTTAGATTATTTGATACATACGATATTTACATACACTGGAAAAAAAGATACTAACTTGAATGCGTTTAATTCGTAGTGATTATTTAGTTCAAGTATTTATACATGGTAAGTAAAAAGTCTCGGTGAAATATCTCGAAAAAACAAAGTTTTTTTAAGAAAAATGATTCAGACAAAAATTGTAGAGTTTAAAAATATCTATTCACTGATTACATTTAGTCAAGGTCAAGTCAAAGTCACATCGATTTAGACTTCCTGTTTTTTATTCCAGAATCTAATAGCTGATGTCAAGAACTTTTCAAAACTACAATAAAGTTTATTTTCATTAAGTATTTTTCGAGTTATGAGTTTATGAGATTTGAAAATTTACCGCCGGCATTAGCATTATCCAAGATATTCAACTGATAATAATATTGAATATTGTTCTCAGGATCATTACCTGGATAACATTTGTCAAGATCGAGGTTATTGGACTATTGTTGTTTTTATTTTCATTTTTGCACTAAAAACTTATTTTTATATAAAAATGAAAATAAGTAAAGATACAAACTTAGAATTAAGTGAATAATAAAGATAATATCACTTGGGTTTTACTTTTTAATAATTAATTTGAATTTAGATTGATGTCAGTTGTTGGTACCAAATTTTTTATATATATGGTACATATATCATTAGAGTCAAATAAATAATAAAAATAATATCACTTGGATTTTGAAATAATAAAAATAGTATCACACACAATTTTATTTTTATTTAGTACTAAATATACTCCTATATCTAAAAACTCTATAGTATTAAGCCCTAAAACTCTGTAGTAGTAAGAAGAAATGCAAAATATCATGCCATAATATTTCGCTTATTGTATAAAGTCTATCATATCTGATTTATTCCTACATAGTGCTATATTAAATATTAATATTTATTATTATTAAATATTACATATTTTGTGCACAAAATTTACATCTACCATACCACCTTGTTGCGCTGCATATTGCTATACTAATAACAGTAAAGGGTGCTTTTCAATTTTGTGTCTTTCAAGGAGTGCATGCGTAAACTGTTAACTTATGCTGTAATCGCTAAGTTCAATATAATTATTTACATAGATTTATGTGTTGCCGTAAAAGTTAAATTAACTTTACGGTTGTGACATAAGTTACAAACATTTAGTAAATCATTATGCGGAAAATAAAAAAATAAATAAAGCAAAATACTATAGTATTATAATAAATAATATAATATTATAATAAATACAAAATATCGAAATTATACGGTGAGAAAAATGCGCATAAAATGTATTGACGTTCTAATAAAAAAATTAATGTGTTATAAATATAGAAAGTAGAATAGTAGTATTGATAGTATTTATGAGTATAAAAGTACTAAAAACAATAATTCTCTCTGTATTTTCTCTAATCTTCTCTGTATTTACAGGATACATACAGTTACAAGTTGCGTAATAAAATGTTCTAATTCATATTGGGTTGTTCGGAAAATTCGTACCGATTTTTGGTAGGTGGCGTAAGGACAGGTCTGAATATATCAGAACGTCTGAAAACAAATGACATGCGTGCATATCGTAAAAGACGGTCTTCAGGCATACTTGGAAAAAAATTTGGTTGCGATACGTTAATTTTTATCAATTTTATACGCCTTTGAATATGGAAGAAAACAAGTGCATTTTAGGCATTTAATGCTTTTCTTTTACCGGAAAGGCAAAAATGCCACACAAATGGCAAACAAGATATGCGCTGTTTATGGCGAAGGTGTTGTAGCTGAAAGAATTGCGGAAGTGGTTTACTAGGTTTAAAGCTGGTGATTTCAACCTTGAAGATCAAGAACGCCCAGGTAGACTCTCCATCATAGATGAAGATCAGATTAAAACACTGATCGAGAATAACCTACGCTATATGACACGTAAATTAGCAGAAATGTTGAATATGTCAAAATCCATCATCCACGAGCATTTTGTGAAGCTTGGCTACATAAACCGTTTTGATGTATGGTTCCCTACGAACGGAGAAAAATCTGATGGATCGCATTTCCATTTGCGACTCGCTCTACAGGGTGGGCCATTTAAAATTTAATTTGGCTCTAAAAAAAAATGCATGAATTTTTTTCAAAGTTTATGGCTTTATTGGAAAGGTAGTACATTGCCATTAAACATGAAATACAATTTCATTCAAATGATTTCCATGGCTGGCTGCACAATACCCCATTCTATTAACCCAATTTTTCAGTACATTTTCCACTGTATGGGCGCGTATTTCATCGATGGCAACTTTGATTTCATGTTTTAATTCTTGAATCGTTTCTGGCTGGTTAGCGTAACACTCATCCTTAACGGTTCTCCATAAAAAATAGTCCAGCGGAGTCAAATCGCAGCTGCGAGGCGGCCAATTGACATCAGCATTTCGGCTGATTATGCGATTTTTTAAGACAGTGCGCAAAAGATCGATTGTAGCGTTGGCTGTGTGGCAAGGTGTGCCGTCCTGTTGAAACCAAATGTCGTCTGTGTCCTCCTCTTCAAATTTGGGAAGCAAGCATTCGTTTAGTATAGCGCGGTAGCGCTCGCCATTGACAGTGACGGCAGTTCCTTGCTCATTTTCGAAGAAAAATGGCCCAATGATGCTACCGGACCAAAAACCACACCAAACAGTCACTCGTTGTGGATGTATCAGCTTCTCCATGACGACGTGCGGATTCTCTGATCCCCAAATACGATAATTCTGCTTGTTCACATAGCCACCGAAGTGAAAATGAGCTTCGTCAGAAAAGATGATTTTTCAGTTAAAATGCTCATCTTCAATCAAGCGTTGTTCAGCCTATTGGGCGAACCGAAAACGCATCGGATGGTCATGCGGCTTCAATTCTTGCACTAATTGAACTTCGTACCGAGATCTTTATTCAAAATTCTTCTCAAAGAAGTGCGTGAAATGCGTGAAATTCAAGTTTTGAGAACGATGGCGAGTTGATGTTGGTTGTTCAAGCACACTCTGAGCAGCAATGTTTTCGGTTGATCTTACTAGACGAGCACGTGAACGAGTTGCTTTATCCAATAAGGATCCAATTTGCCGAATTCGCTTCACAAATTGATTCACAAACTGCGTTGAAGGTATTTCTTTTCTATCAAATTTTCCACGTAAATTTCTTACAGTTTGGGTTGAAGACTCACCACTTTGGAAGTAAGTTTTCAATATTTCCCAATTTTGTTCAAGCGTATAGCGATCCATTTCGTAAATGTCAAACAAAAAATTAAATTTCTGGTACGTCATAAATGTTATTATGCCTTTCAAACTCAAAATAACCGGTAGTTGAAATTCCAAACGCTAATGGCCCACCCTGTATAAATGCAACGAGGAGACACCATTTTTAAAGCAAGTAGTGGAGGATGAAAAATGGATCATTTACAATAATGTTGAGCGAAAAAGATCTTGGGAAAAGCGGAATAAATCACCTTTAGCCACTCCAAAAGCCGGTCTTCATCCAAAGAAGATCATACTCTGTGTCTGGTGGGATTGGAAAGGGATTCTGTATTATGAGCTTTTATCAAACAACGAGACGATAAATTTAGAGAAGTATTGTTCCCAATTAGAATTGAAGACAGCAATTGAACAAAAACGTCCAGAAATAGCGAATCGGAAAGACGTCATGTTTCATCAGGACAATACGCGGCCTCATGTGTCTTTGATAACTCGACAAAAGTTGTTGGAGCTCGGTTGGGATGTTCTACCTCATCCACCATATTCACCAAACTTCGCGCTCTGATTTCCACCTATTCATTACAAAATTCATCATCACAAAATTTCCTTAATGGAAAAAGCTTCAACTCTTTGGTCGAGGTAAAAAAATCCAGGTAAAACTTAGAAAAGTTTTTCGCTGAAAAACCTGAGAGATTCTGGAAGGACGGAATTTTCAAGTTGCCTGAAAGATGGAGAAAGGTTGTAACAGAATGGCACCTATATAATTTAATAAATGTATACTAAAATTTAAATCTTCTGCATTTCAATTTTCCTTCAAAATCGACACGAACTTTCCGAACAACCCAATAGAAGACAGGTAATACAATGCATTATCTTCTAAAAAATTATAAAAGACTTGTGTAGTGATTGGTTCCGCCATTTTTAGGGGGGATCTGACTTCTGATCCAATAAAAAGAGATCTACGAGATCGCTGGACTCTGTATTTTAGGGACATTATTTTAGTCTAGAAGCAAAATTTTTATATTATTTTTGCAAATTTTTTAAAATAAAATATATAAGTTTTTTAAGACGAGAGGTTTTTTCCTATATATTTATACATATTTGAAGTATATTTCAGAATTTTTTAATTACAAAATAATTATAAATATGCGCTGTATAAAATATTAAATAAAGTGATGAAAAAAAATAGGTCTATGGCTCCCACGATTCCAGCTGTTCTATTCTGAAACAAAAAATCAAAGAAATTCTTAATTAGTGCTTATGAGCTTGACTATAGTAGATATCAGAATGAAAAAAAATACTGAAAATTTAAAAAATGACGTCATGTCGAAAACTAATGCCCGTATTCATAGTCAGATTTTATATTTAAGGCTTCCTTAAATTTATCTTTAAATGCTCAGCAGCCAATGAAATAATTCGTACAGTATCTGAAGATAAATTTATACGGACATAAATTTCGATTTTTGCCATTTTTTTACTAAAATGGCTGTAAGAATTACAAAAAATATAATATATTTCGACTTGCTCGTGGTAGAAATTATAATCATATATGTGCTGAAGATGTATGCACATATCTGATTCAATTGATCAGCTTTTTTTTCGAGATATCATGGGAACCAATTTGAAAATCGTGATTTCAAGAAAAAAACACGTTTAAAGTTTTTCGTACTGATTATATAGAGATAATTTTACTTACGATCCTTACAATCAATCAGCTAATCCGGGCCATGAAGAAATTTTCCTCCTGCTCATAG